AAGCAGGTGAAGGGAGGAGAGAATATTTAATGAGTAATTATTTTTTAATATATTATTTTTTAAATAAAAATTGTTTAAATATTTAAATAATTTTATTTAAAAATTTTAATAAAATTTTAATAAAAAAGTCAAACTTTTAGCTAGAAAATAAGAGGAGATAAATTCTTATCTAAATAAAGGTCTAATTTTTCTATTTAATTTTATTAAAATTTTTTGTTTAAATTACTTCCTTAAATTAAAAGATAAAAACAAATTTAACAGATTAAACATTAAAATAAAAACTTTATATTTTTTTTAAATTTTATGACAATGTTAAATGAAATGTTTAAATGAAAAAAAAATTTTTGTTAAAATATATGTAAATAACATGTAATTATTGTTAATTAATTTATTTTTAAATTTAAATTTTCATATTTAGATTATTAAATATAATTAAATATTTTAATTATTTTCATGAAAAAATTCAACTCATAAATATTTTGAAAATATTAAAACACAAAAATTATTATTTAAATAAAATTATTTAAATAAATTTTAAAAAATATATATAAAAATTATGTAAATTTGGGACAAATTTAGAATTTTTACAAAAGATTTAAATAAATTTTTTTAGATTCTTTCATGGTTTTTTTCTTTTAAATAAAATGTTACATAAATGCTTTTCGTGAATAAAATAAATTTAATTATTTTATAATTTTATAAAAGAATAAAAATTTAGTGAAAGATTTAGAGATTTTAGGAAAAAGGGCAAAAAGAATAAAAGAACAATGAAAAAAATTAACTTGCCAATTTAACTTTGCTATTATGATAATATATACTGCTTAAATCGTTGTTGAGAAATTTAAAGAAGCCCGATTAAGAGCTTCAAAAACTCGATTTACGTCCTCCATGAAAGTTTTTAATTAAATGCCCTTATTAACTTCACTCCCAATTACGTCAAAATCGGATGCATAATTGAGGTCCGATTTTACACTTTACATGCTTTATCCATTTTTCAGTTATTAATTTAATAATATTTATATATCTACTAAAACCCTAAACAATGGGAAAATAATAAAATATATTAGATTATTTACTTATTTTTAGTAGGGTAATATGAAATATGTAAATAATTATAAAGATAAAAAATTTTTAATTCTAAGAATTATAAAAAATTTAATAGTAAATAAACTGTTGCACTTACAATATTCTAATTAAAATTTTTATTTGATATGAAAGTGTTTATTACTTTTTTAATTTAAAATACATACATATGTACTTTAAAGAATTGAAAATAAAACTTTAAAATATAAAATTAAAAGCGGTAATAGAGAATATTTAAATATTTGCGTAATTTAAATTAAATCAACTTAAATTATAAAATTAAAGGTGGTAATAGAGGATATTTAGATATTTGAGTAATTTAAATAAAGGAAAGTTAAAAAATAAATAATCTTATTTGACAAAAAATTCTGAAAGCGTCAGCAAAAAAATATAGAAAATTATTCAATTTGTATAACTCAGAATTCAGATTCTATTTTAGAAAGTTAATATGTAAAAACTATGTTTATTTGAACTCTTGCGTCTTAAGTTTGGAAATAATTTTTAAACAAGCCTACGGGGGTTTAGGTTTTAACATCTCTTAAAAACGATAAAAAGGAAGGTCCTATTTTATTTCTAAGTTTATTGTAATTTTGGCCTTGTGTTACGTAGTTCTGCTACAAATTATTAATAAAAATATTTAAAAATATTTTTAATAACTTTTAGTAATATGTACTTTTGTAAAATAAATCGCAATTAAAAAGATTATTTATTAGACTCGTAATAAAATGTATTATTTATTTATCCTCATTATTTATTTAAATATTAATATTATTTTTTCTTTCATAAAAGAATAATTAGAATGAGGGTGGAAAATATTAACCCAATACTGATAATATAAAAAGAATATTTATTTGTTTGTAGTCAAGCAGATGATTATTTTTACTTAGAATTGGCATATTTATTTTAATTGGTTTGGCAAATTTTAATAATATTTTATGAAAATTTAAATAAAAGTAAAAATGTTTTAATAATCAAAGAGTATGAAAATAAAAAAAATTTAAATTTGAGAGGAGAATTTAAAAATTAAAGAATTTTTTAAATAATAATTCAGGCATTTTCGGAACATTTTATTTAACTTTCATTATAAAGTAATTTTTAAACTATATTATAAATTCATTTAATTAAAGGTTATTTTATTTTAAATAATTTTTGGGTAAATCAAGAATAGATTAATAAATGGATACTTCTTTTTGAAAGGATTAAATTAACCAAAAATGGCTCTAAATAAGATAATTTTAAAATATTCAAATAAATTTTAAATTCTAACAAATTTTTTAAAGATATAAATTAAATATTTTTTAGCTTCCTTTTTCTTTTTTTTAACCCGAGTAATGTCCAATTAGTTAATTGTTAATTCTAAAAACTTTTTTTTCATTCTTAATACTTCTCTTTATCTTTACAAAGTACAATAAATAAATAATAGACTAGTAAATATGTAAAAAGGTGCTCATTAAATAAATATTTAAGTAGATATACGTAATCTTCAATTAAAAGAAAATAGATTTTTGTATTTTAAAAGACGTGAAAATATTTAAATCATCTAAAAATGAGTTCAAAATGTCTAATATAAAATTAAAATTGCCAGAATCCTAACATATCTAAGGATATGTGAAGTACGCATACATAGAATAATTTATTTTGATGAGATGTAATTACAAATTGAATTATTATTATCTACATAGGTATACTTAGAAAGGACGAAAAGCAATGAAACTTTAAATATATTATACTATATGTTGATCCAATAAGGGTTTAATTAAATGATTTAATTTGGAAAGTCTGCTTATTCAACTTTGTAAGAGGAAATTTAAATATCAACGGAATGAAAATAATATACATTTGTCTATACAATTAAATATCAAGATAATTAAATAATATATTTTATAATTTATTAATTTAGAATTAACGTCACATAATTATTTTTAATATAAATTAACAAAAAATTTCAAAAAACCATAAAAATATTTATTAAATAAATTTTGTTTATTAAAATGGAAATGAAAAATAAAATAAATTAAATCTACGTAAAGTGTAAAAATATTTTTAATAAATATATTTAATCCTGTTCTTTTGCCTTTCACTATTTATAAAAAATTAAATTAATAATTAATTTTTGTTTATATTTTTAAAAATATTTTTTAAATTTAATCTGTCTAATTATTTACATATTTACTCTTTTTTAATATTTTTGATGAATAATGTTAATTATATAATTAATTTATAATTAAAAAATACTTATAATAATAAAATTAGTACAGAGAAAAAATTAAAAACATTTATTGTTAATTAATTAATCTCTGTACATACAGAATTTTAAAATAAAAATATTTATTTATTGTTCTTAATTAAAAATTTCTTTTTGGCCTCTAATTGAATAAATATAAAATTATTTAGTATCTATGAAAGCCAAATTCAACAACAATTTATTTAAGTAATGCAATAATAGGTACTTTATCTTAAAAAGTATTTTCATTTTCTGATTTTATTGTGCTCATTTCCAGTAAATTTTTTCCACAACATTTCTAAATTGGCAAAAAAAATTTTTATGCTTTTAGAAAAAGTCATATTTAAATAAATATTAATTTAGATTAATTTTCAAGAAAACAATGTTAATTATTTTTATTTTTCTTAAATTTTTATCTTTTTATTTTTTACAGTTAATTGATAATAAAAATTGATTTATTTTAATTAATAACATTGATAAAATCGTTTGTATATATTTTGCTGTGCATTATTTAATTCCAGTTCTTTTCAATAAATAATTCTTACAAACTAGTAAAATATTAACTTTAATTTTTCCTTTACTCAAAGTTGAGAGTATGTTTAGTTTTTAAATATATTTAATTTATTCCATTAATTTAAATTAAATATTTTTTAAAACCTTAAATTAATAAAACCGATAATATCATGATAACAGAAATCAGAAGCTAAAAATTTAACAGCTACTTTTCTTTGATGAATAAAAAATAGTAAATGCCGGGGATGAACTCTCTTCCGTTTAAATGTGACGCGCTCTATCTTTAATATATAATAAATAGATTATTTTAATAAAAAATTTAAAATAATGGCAAATGATAATTTATTTCAAACATCAAATGGCCGTTTTGCTCTAATAGTTTTAAGCTCAGCAACATTAATTACATTTACCACTATTGCTTGGTTTACTACAAAGAATCTGCTTTATAAACGAAAGAGAACTAGGCATTTTAGAATAAATAAATTAATTTAAAAAATTTTTATTTAGAGAATTTGTGGAAGCTGGAAGAGTTGATGAATTATATTTATATCCAATAAAGTCATGTAAACCTAATAAGGTGGAATATTTTGAATAATATTTATTTGAGAAGTTAATAATTTTTTATTTTATTAAAGGTTGATTGGATTGATTGTAATAAACGGGGAGGCTCTAATGGAGAGGAATTTGACAGACATTTTCTTGTATTTATTTTTAAAATATGAACTTAATAGCTATTTAATGAAATTTATTTTTAGTTAGTCGATTCTATGCAAGACAATTTATTTTTGACAGCTCGGATTTATTCAAAAATGGTATTGGTTGAAGCACATGTAATTAAAGGAAAATTAATTGTTAGATTTCCACCAGGCAAAATTAAAAAATATCTAAAATTAATCAAAATAATATAAAATTAAGATGATAAAATTGTTGAAGTAGACCTTGAACAAGTCAGAGAAAAAGGAGAAATAAGGAGGGCACGGTAAGTTAACATAATGAAAATTTTTCACATCTTCAACAAATTTTAATTTAATTTAAATGCAATTATTTAATGACTTGTTTCAATGTTTGGAATATTAATTAATACCAAATTTTAGGAATAGTTAAGTATAACACTTTATATGTTAAAAGAAAAGCAGTTTTGACTTCGGACACAAAAATTATATTTCATTCATAATATGCATTTTTGAAAGGGGCTATTTTGACAACCCAAAGTCTTAGTTTTCCTCTAAAAATAACTGCAGGTCTTGGCCTGCGTCCCAGTGGCGTCAAATGCCTTTTTTATCCTCTAAAGAATCATCTAAAGAAATTCTTTCTCCACCACCCTCTAGTTTATTCTCTAATGCACGAACTGAAGGATTTGACTGTGGCGATGAGATTGGTAAAGCATTTGATGAATTTCTTGAAGTTGGAGATAAAAGAGCCTTACGTTTAATTTGGTAAATATTTTTAAAATAAAAAAAATTATGAATTAAAGGTATGGAGAACCGGAAAAATTATATACTGAAAGAGATGAAAAAACTAAAAGTGAATTTTGGTTGAATAATGATGTGCCAATGCTTCAAGAAAATGTAAAAATATTTTTTAATTAAATTTTATATTTGATTTTTTGGACTGGGTTGAGATTAGAGGATTGACACAGCACTTACACAATCAAATATATTATACATCTAGTGATATCTGCTTTACCTCCATTTGATTAATTTAGTTTCAGACTAGGACTGAAGGATTTGATTATTGAAATTGATAAAACAGATAATTCCAATATCAAATTTTAATTACAATCACTTTGATTTTCGGACTGAGTTGGGATGAGTGGAAGGATAGTATTAATACCCATAGATTTTCTCAGATTGCTTATCATGATTTAGCTTCATTTATGGCATTTGCTTCAGAATCTGTTAATGATTTAAATAAACATCTGAAAAAGGAAGGTGAATGTATAAATTCTCGAAATTTTCGTCCAACTTTAGTAATATCTGGTTTGCCTCCATATGATGAGGATAGTTGGTTACGTGTTAAGGCTGGAGATGCAGAATTTATTTGTTATAAACCTTGTACTCGGTTAGTGGATTTTTTAACTAAAAGCTTTTTTAATATAATGTTAAGTTGTGTTTTGACAACTGTAAATCCAGATTCAGGAGAAAAATCTCCAAAAATGGAGCCAATAAAAATGTTGAGAAATTAAGTTTCAAATTCTTTTTCATTTAATTAATTTTTAATATTTTTAGATATAGACTTGCCCCTGGAAAATTATACGAGATATATAAGGTAGAAATTATTAAAAAATTAAAAGAAAATGTTTTTAAAGGAAAGTCCAATATTTGGTGTTAATATGACTATTGTTAAACCTGGACGTGTTCGTATTGGAGATCCTGTATTTATTCAATATAAGCCTACACCTTTTTAAATTGTAGAAGAAGGAAATATTTAAAAAATAAATATTTAAATAAAATTTAATAAAAATATTTGTCATTTAAAATAAATAAATTATTTTATTTGGAATATATCTCGGTATTGTGAGGTTAAAGATTTGTTAAAAATAATTAGAAATCTTTATTTTCTTAATTAAATTTAAATATTTATGCTATGATTTTTACAGATACAATTTTTAAAGCTAAAATTTTTTAATAATTTTTTCTAAAAAATTTTAAAATTATATGTACCCAAAAATTAAAAAAAAAGAATGGAAAAATCTGGAAAAATTACGCCAACGCTTTCTCTTCCTAGTTAGTTTTTGCTATTATCTTAAACTTTCTTTAAATCCATTATGTTCATATAAATTGTTGCCAGCTGTCACAATTATATTTGAGGAATGAAAATTTTCTAAATTATTCGCCTACGTACATAGATTATTTTATATATTTTAAACTTTCACTTTTAAAATTTAGAGTTTATACTTTAAATTATTCGAAAAAAATAATAAGCATGCTTTAATCAAGTCTTTAAGATCTAGTCTGAATAAGGCATCTATTTATTTTGTAAATTATAAACCCCATATTTTATTGTTTACTTTTCTTTATTTTTAAAGACACTAAAATAAAATTAAATACAAATTATAGTTAAAAATGAATTTTGGTTGTGCCGGTGATCCTGATATTAAAAATTGTGCCTTTTGTGGCGAGAAAGTTCAAATAGCTGATAAATTGATGGTTGACCGAGAAATTAGTAAATTTATATTTTTTAAAAATAATTCAAAAAAAATTTTATTTTAGTTCATAAAGGCTGTTTTAATTGCTGCTATTGCGGTGCTAAACTACAAGCAGGGAATGCAGCTATGGAACAATCATTCTTCAATCGCTATGGTCCTCGTTGGTATTGTGCCGGTGCTTTAGGTAATTGTGCTTTAGTGCCTGTTGCACAGAAGGATGCGAAACTTAAAGAGCGTGGATTGAATGTTAAGAAAACTGGAAAGGCCAAAAAATAATGATTTAAAAAATAAAATTTATCAAAATGATTGACAAGAGATGTGATTTTTAAATTTTCTTGAAATAAAGAAAATAATCAGGAATGATAATTTAACCCTATCGATAAAAGAGAAAGCTAAAAATACTAAGAAAAAATCCTAAAAATCCGACAACGCTTGAATCTGTGACTATCGAATTCACTTAACTAATTAAAGTATATTCTTTTTCTGAAAGTGAAAAAGCATTTTGAGAAATTTCTCAAAAGTAATTTGAATTGATGCACATTTGATTTAAGGTCAATTTTTAAATTTTTTAAATAAAAATATTTTTATATTTATTGTTTAAAAATGACAATTATTTAACACATTATATTTAACTAATTTTTTCATATTTTTCTTTTGTTTTTCCCAAATCATTTCCCTCCATAATTATCACTTCCGGTATTGTAGTAATAATAATATGGCCAATAATTTTTGTAATTATAATTATAAGGGTAAGAATATGAAGAAGAGTCTTGAGAGGATTTTGAATTGTCTGTTAGGACATAGCCATATCCAGGTATATAATAATAACCTGAATTTGCCTGAAAATAAAATATTTTTAATTTTATTTTTTGATAAATATCCGTTCAAAAATTTATTTTAAAATATTGTAGACTTTTTTTAACGATTTCTAAAATTTATTTTCATTATTCCATATAGATATTATTGTTAATAACAAATATCAAAATTTACTGTTTTTAGTTTATAAGTCCCACTGGAAGGATCATATTGATAATAGCTTGTTCCTGAATCTGAAGATGATTGCTTAGTTTCACTTGGGCGATAATAATTATAATTGTAGGGGTTGTAATAGTAATAATTGTAAGGATAATTGCTCTTTAATAAAAAATTAATGATTAATTAATTTAAAAAATTTTAAATTAAATATTACCCAATTATATTGACCATAAGACAAATCAACAAGCAGAATTAACGACAGAATTGATAACAAACTTATAAAAATTAAATATTTATATTAATTAATTTGAAAATTATAAAAAAAAATTCCAAGAAAAAATTTTTAAAAAAATTAATTTTTATAAGAAAACATACATTACTGTGGAAATTTTCATTGATAAGTTGATAGGCATAATTCAAATAAATTTAAAGAAAATATTTAAATTAACTTAAATTTTAAGTAAACTTTTAGTTAACCAAAATTTATCAAAATAAACATAAAAATTTTGTTATAACTTAAATTTTTTTTAAATTATCTTTGGAATATTTATTGGGGCTACTCATTGAATGTTTAATTAATTATAAAATAACTCCCTATTTTTGTAAATACCATAATACCGTCTATTTTTTGATGGGCCTCCTTGGGTGGGCTTGTATTAGATACCTAATAGAGCCGGACTTTAATTAGAGCATTTACGGTAATTTATTAAAAAAATTTTAGAAAAAACCCACAAAAAAACTTCAAATTTTTTATATGTTTGTGTATATTTAGTTTTTTCCAACAATTTATAAACAAATTTTTCTCAATCAAAATTTTGCAGTTAAAAGCTTTGAAAAGTTATTTCATAATAAAAGTTCAGAAAATATTTACAAATTTATAAAAAAAACCTCAAAAATAGAATTGTTAATCTTTCTTTTGTTAAAAAAATAAATATTTATTTTGCCTTCTTTTTCAATTGAATTGACGGAATTTCTATTTAATTCATCAAAAATTCTCGAAAGCTTTAGAAGAATATACTAACCCTTTATTTATTTTAAATATTTTATTTAAAAATATAAAAACATGGTTAATAAAAGAAAAGAATTTTTTGTTGACGCACGAATGCGCAAGCAGTGAAAATTGTGAAAAAATTGAAATTTTGAAGGATTTAATATTTTTAAATTTTTGCAAAAAAATAGACAAAATATTTAAAAAATAATAATTTTGCAAAAAAAAAGGAAAATAATTAAATTATAACTTTTTATTTAATAAATTGATGTTAAATAATTTAATTAATTGAAGATATTTACATAGAAAATAAATAATGAAGAAATAATGAAAAAATTTTTTAATATTTTTTTTATAAAAATAGGAGTCTTTTACAATACTTTCATATTCGAAATTAATATTTTGCCATCACCGCTATTAGAATTCGTTAATAGTTTTTATTGTCCTAGAATTTTCATCCATTATTTTTTTCATTATTTTATCAAACAACATTAAATAACATATTACTCAATTCTACCCAACTATTCGCCTTGTACTTAATAAAAAATAAATATTATTTCCTTAGAATTTTTATTTTTAAAATTTTATTTTATATTTTTATTTTAAACACTCAATAGCTTAAGTATTGATTCGTATATCCAAAACTAAAGAGAAAATATTTGGCCAATTTATAGGCTTTATCCTTATTTTAGGATTTATATCCAATGCTTTTTACCTAATAAATTTCTTAATTTTAAAGATTTTTTTGTTTTTATTAAAATCTTTTGTATAATTTCCATAAAATATATCTTCAAAAAATGAAAGGTTCTAAAGTATTTGCAAAGTCTGGAGACTCCTCTGATGAAGAAAAAAGAGAAAATCGATGGAAAAAAGATTTGCCTCAATCTAAATTTCGTCGAAGCGATAATGGTTTTTTAATTAAAAAGTAAAAATTTAAAAAATTAATTTTCAAAGAAAGATGGTCTAGAGATGCAGCTAAACGAATTTTTAATGTTGTAAAAAGCCAACCAAACGAAAAAAGTGCGAGGGAATTATTGAAATCTTTGAAAAGTTCTTCTGCAGATGATGAACAAAAAAGTTGGGAATTTTTTTGGAAAAAAGTTTTTTATTTAAATTAAAGGTGCAATTGATAATTTTTTACATAATGTTGACATAAATGAATATTTTATTGATAGAAATGAGAAAAAGGAGGAAGAAATTTTAGAAAAATTAATTATAGCTATTGAAAAAAAAGCTGAAAAGAAAAATGATTCAAAAAAGGTTTTTAAAAATTAAAATTATATTAATATAATAACTGAATAATTATTTAAATTAGAAAAATGTATTTAAAAATTAAGTTAACTCTAATTAAGTTATAAGTTTGTTAAAACCACAACAATTTAATAGAAATTTTATAAATTTTTATATTTTAATTTAATTTTAACTTAATTAAAAGTAAAGAGTAATTACAACTAAATAGGGGAAATTAAAGACTTGATCAATTTTTAAAAATACCTTTGGATTTAATACAGGGTTCGGATCGAAAAAATGTCAAGTGTAAGTACAAAAAGTTCAAATTGGAAGTACACAGGGGGAAAAATTTTCAAAATGTAAGTACGCTACGAAAAAAATTTTCAAAAACTTTTTTTAGTGCCGAAGCTGCTAAAAAGTCTTCCACTTTTTGCGCCGCAGGCGAAAATTTTGAGAATTTCGGGGGTCCTTAAGCCAGTTTCTTCCATTTTTTGCGCCGCAGGCGAAAATTTTGGAATTTTTAATGTTAAATTTAATTTTTTAACCAAAAAGTCTATTTGTAAGTACGTACTTACAAATAAGTACATTTTTAATTTTGGAAGTACGAAGGTCGATTTGTAAGTACTGTACTTCCAAAATAAGTACGAATCCGAACCCTGATTTAATATGTATTTGACGTTAAAAAAGGAAGCTGAGAAGAAAATAATAATTAAATAAATAAATAAATTTTGTTTGTTTAATTTTAGGGACTTGGAATGTTGGATTCAATTCTGGATTATTTACTTGAAAAATTGCAGCAACAATGGCACACGCTTTTTTATGCTCTTGTTCCCTTACATCAAGTACAAACTCTTGTGTTGATTTGTTTTGTTCAACTTATTGGGTTGGATTTGTTTAAAAAAATTTAAATTTAATTACAAATTAATTAAACTTTAAAAAAGGGTTTATAGGGAATTAAACAAAAATATTGGTTATCTCCAAATATTGTGAAAAGATTAAATTAAATCTAAATTAATATAAGAAGAGTTGAGATTCCATACCTGATATACATAGTACATCAAGTACAAACTATTTTTGCCTCCCACCTATCGGTCTTGGGCGGAGGTGAAATCCAAAGTGATTAAATATGAGGAAATAAACAAAAATTTTCTAAATTAATTATAATAAAAATTAAATTTTATTTTCCATTATTTTTATAGACTAAACACAATTTTCAATGCATCACCAATTATTTTAGCTCATTTTTCATTTGCCTCAATGATTTATTTTACGTTGAAAATATTTAGAAAACAAACATCTTTAAATGATAAACGAGCTTTTTGGGAACGATTTGTACAAATTTTTCAAAATAAATCCAAAAATTTATCAGAAGATAAAGGAAAGAATTTTAAAGAAAATATAGAAAAAGAATTACTACCTGAGAGTGAAGGTAATTTTTAAATATTTACTTTAAGGAAATTAAAAAAAATAATTAAAAAAAATATTTTTTTGAATAATAATTGTTTTGGAAGTCTTTATTTAATCAAAAAAAATTTTTTTTCTATCAAGTAAAAAATAAAACTTCATTTCCCCTTTTTAGAAAAAATTACTGCGATCAACGAAGAAGAAAGTCTTTTAATTGGCAGCCTCTCCCCTTATTTAAATTTTTTTCTTTCACTTTTCCTCTTTCTTTTTTGTATTGGAATATCTGACAAATCTGTGCCTAATTCTCTAATATTTTGTGGAATTGCTTTATTTTTTACTGGAATTAGTTTTGTTGAATTAATGTCTGATGGAACTTTTAATTTTTGGGGGTTAGCAACTATTTTATTTGCAAATTTTATTTCTTTGTAAGTTTTAAAATTGTTTAATAAATTAATAAAAAAATATTTTTTAAATCTAAAGCAGGGTAGCTCCCCGAGCCTTCGAGGTCGGGATCGTCAGGGATCGTTGTTTGTCGGGGTAGAGACTTCGAGGTTCTGGTCGGGGTTTTTGCCAAAAAAATTGTCGGGGACGGAGAGCTGCCTTAAACTAAAGTAATAATTATTTCGGCTCTATTACACAATATACGTCCAATCAACTATTATGCGTCCAATCAACTTTTATACGTCCAATCAAAGTTTATACGTCTAATGAAAAGTTTATGAGTCCAATGAAAATTTATGCGTCCAATGAAAAGCTTATGCGTCCAATCAAATTTTACACGTCCAAACATATTTATAATTTAAAATAAATATAATTTAAAAATAATATATAAATAAAAAAATCTTATTTCAACCCAGGCTTGTTCATGGATAAGGATAATATAATACCAGCGGATATATCCGGATACGGACGGGTATGGATAGTGGTTTTTTAAAAATCGGACGGATACGGACTGGCAAGGCTATGCTGCTACAAATCCGCGGATATCCATCCCTAATTTCTGCGATTTAACAGCACTAATTAATAACAACCCTAAAATCTGCGGTGCGTAAAAAGTGAATTTTTTGGCCTATGGCCTTCCAAATTTCTCAAAATTTTCGATTGCAGCCAGGACGGTATATATTTTTAAATGGATACCTGATAGTCATTGAGTAAGGCGTTATAAAAAATAAAAATTATTTTGTTTTTTCTTAATTTAATTTTTACTGGACGTATAAAAATTTATTTGGACGTATAAACTTTGATTAGACGTATAAAAGTTGATTGGACGCATAATAGTTGATTGGACGTATATTGTGTAATAGAGCCATTATTTCTTTATTTTTATAGTTTGCCTGTTCTTAGTTCAAAAATTAAATTTTCAATCGGCAAAAGATTTATTTGGCGTCCGTTTTTCTCTTGGAAGTTCGGTATAAATTTATTTATTTTAATTATAATTAAAAAATTTTTAAAGGAGCTTTTCGTCTCAATTTTGGTTTAGCCTCTCTGTCACTTTTTGTTATTCCCATAATTTTATTTTTAATTGCTTTACGGAAATCCCGTCATTATCCTTCTTCAAATAGATTTTTTGTTCCTTTTTTAAAATCCCTTTTGCCATATATTATTTGCCTTATTTGGTCAAACATTGCTTTTACGATGGTTTTGATTGGATTTAAACAATTCTCAATGACAAATCTTTTACTGGCTATAGCTCTTCTTTCTTTTATTGTTTTGCCTAATTATATTGGTGCTACTTTGGCTTGTGGAATTTTATTTTCTCAAGTAAAGAGGACAGTTGATTTTGTGGGTTTTGTTTAATTTTTTAGAAACGGAGATTAACTCTAATTATCAACAAAATTTAATAAAAAAAATTCCTCGTTTTTGAATCATTTTTCTCTCTGATCTTCTCTTCTCCCAAAAAAGTTGGGTCAATCTAAATTAATATAACTTCAATTTTATATTTTTCAGATCAGTTTACTTAAAATTATTTTTACAATAATTGTATTTTTACTTCCTTTGATTATCAGAAAATGTTATAAAATAATTTTACAAAAATACAAAATTAAATGTTTGTTTTTAATTTTTATTCTAATATTTCTTTTATTTTCAGTATTTAATTTCTTCAACACAAAAAATGTTTTAATTTTATTTTTTGTTTATTTGCTTGGCTCTTTAACTGTAATTTCTTTTCTTTATCAAAGCCCTTCCTCTTTTGATGCTTCTTCTGAATTAACTAATCTTACTTGGCCTCAATTTGAGAATCATTGTGCAATGAATGGAGCTAATCAAATACATTCACAAATGCATTGTTCTCAAATGAAAGGTTTTTTCATTGAACCTCTCGATTTTTAAATTTTAATATGATCCCTTTTATACTCAACTTCAACCTAAAATAATTTAATTTTGTCTCCAAAAATTAAGGAATGGCTATAAATTGGAAAGGAACTGTCCAATCTGTTCGAATTGCCGATATCGATAATTCTTTTGAGACTTTGCTAGATTATTTGCCTGATTCTGTGGCACAAGCTATTCGCTGTTTTTATGATACTGATAGCACTGACGAGGATGCTATACCGAGAGATTTGCATTCGAATGAGTGTAGTCTTGCTCAACACAATCATTATACTTATGAATTGGAAGTGAGCCATATTATTACTAATTTATCTTTACAAGATTAAATTTTCTAATCTACCTTAAAATCTACAAAGGGTAAAAAATCGAGACCAAGACTTGACCTTAAGATCGAAAACCTCTAAGAAAAGTCTTGAGTCAAAGACCAAGAATCTCTATTCTCTTCATCGCTTTGTGTTTCTTCTGAACGATTTATAAATTCGAATTTTTTTCATAGGTCAGTGGCCCTTATGGTGAAAAATTTCAAATCAGCGGCAATAAAGGACAATTACTTTTAACAGCTCAACACACTTTTGGTGAAATATTACGACTTTTGGATGAAGGGGACATTATTAGATTTATTGCATTCTTTGACAGTTATCCAGTCTTTAGATATCCGCCACGTCTTAGACTGCTTCAACTTGAATGCTTAATTTGTAAAAAGGTAAATGATCCTCTTCAAACTTTCATTAAAGCTTTTAATCAAAATCTTTCTAGCTGAGTTCTGACAAATACAAACATCTTCGATTGACAAGCGTTAAATCAGAAAGACGTAAAATATGGGCTCGTTTAAACAACGCATTTGAATTACTTTTTAATTTTGTATTTGCACCGTTTATTTTACTTTCTTAGACATAGTAGTTTTAGTATATTTTATTATAATCTAGTCATTTTCATATTACTCTTAAGTTTTGAAATTTATAGAGAAAGTTTTTTAGTACTATTAAATGCTAGGCATAGAAACACAATGATAATCCCAGAATTTTTAATCTGTTATTTTATTATTTAGATTTTATTACATATGTATGTAGGCATAAAATAATTTGTTACGCTTTTTTGTTAACTTTCTTTAATTTTTTCTTTCTATCTAGAAAGCTTCTCCCTTATTTAAAAAAACATTTTATTTATTTAAATATTTAATCGCGCATTGTATGTAAAAAGAAAATATTATTTAATTTTATTTGAATATTATTCATTAAATCATTAATTCTTTTTTTCTTCTCAAAATTCAATGACGCTTTTTGGCAGTTACACGCAACACGCCATTTTGCATCAAATGAGACTAAAAATTAATTTTCAAAATTAATTTTGGATATTATTTTTTACTTTAATTGTGTTACGGTCCAAATCGTCAGGAAGTCGATAGCTTCGATTAACTTCGCGACTCACTGTTCCTCCGTGAACATCGCTACGCTTTTCATGTTGGCAATGGAAGTTGAGACAATCCCCAATTACTTTTACCTTTAAAATATTTCTATCAATTTTTAAAATTTCAAACTCACTTCAATCTCTTTTGGCTCAAAGAATGACATATCTAGATCAACCTCCCAATTGTCAGAATTTTCCTGGACTTTTACAACACCATCATTATGTTGTAGAGGCCAGTCCCATTGTTTGGGACTTGCTTCGTCGTGGCTTACAGGAATACGATGAGCGGTTAACATTTTTGGAAGTTAAAAATTTTAAGATTTTCTTTTATTTTCTAAAAATTAGATTTAATGTTTAAAATTTGTAATAATTCAAATTCGAAATCTTTATTGAGGAAAATATTTAGGTTCTCAAAAATTGTTTAGAATTAAAGGATTTTTGATTGTTTATTAGAGATTCTTTGTTAATGCCTAGATTGAATCCATCCCTTTTATATAGCCCAAACTTGTCGTATTTTGTAGTATTCTTCGGATTATTTATCCTTCTATCTACTATTAATAAATGCAAACTTTGAAGGCCTCGAGGCAAACAAAATGGTGATTGAATAAACAAAAAATCTTACTTTTAGTTAAAAAGAGAGAGGAGATCAACAAAAGTAAGCACGAGGAAATTGAGATCCTTCTAAAAATATTTTTCTTTCTTGATAACAAAAAACAACAACACGTGTTATTTTAAATATAGAAGAAGGGGATTTATTATACTAAAATTGGATAGATTGCAAATAATTGTGAAAAAAAATAATGTTAAAAAAAGATTTAGGAAAGAAAAGAAAAAGCCTGATCACCTGTCATTTTACTTTTTAAAAAAAAATAAATAGCAGCAGATTTTATTATTGTTTAATAGCAAAAACAAAAAAAATTATTGTGCAAAATTAAAGAACGAATTGAGAATGTTTAGATGGAATTTTGTTTACTATTAAATTAATATGTATTTGTGTGCCAAAAATTTTGAAAAACAAAATTGTTTTGTTAAATGTTTTTAAAAACAGAATAATAAATAAAAAATGTTTTTTAATGCTTGTACTTTTTAGATCTCAACAAAATATATTACATAAAATACTACATACTTGCAATTTATTAAGCAATTTTTTCTAGTGATAGTATTCCCCCCTTTCAACTCCTGATCGGACCACCTCGACCACCTCGAACTTTTGAAGTGCAATTATAATTCAAAAATATTACTTTTGCATCAGTGTCCTTCCGACTTCATTAACGATTCACGTAAATCGTGAATGGGCGATGGCGATGAATATTTTCTAAAATGGATTTACATATACTACATATGTATATATGTAAAATGAATCATTTTTTATTTATTATTTTCATTCAAAACTATTTTCATTAAAATTTATTAAAAAGTAAAAATGTTTTTAAAAAATATTTTATTTAAAATAAATTTAATTATTTTTTTATTTTTAAATAAAATTTTAACAAAAAATATTACTTTAGAAGAAGCTAAAAAGAAATCTCCAATTCCATTTATTGAAAGCTTTTGGTTTTTTTAAATTGTTTCAATAAATTAATTTAGTATAATCTTATTTTTAAGTGATTATGAATTTTATAATGGCGGGGGCGACTGTGAAGAACCTGATAAAGGTTATGATTGTGGTGAAGGATTGGAAATTGATAATTCTGGAATAAAAGTATTTATTATTAAAAAATAAAGTTGACTGTTCTGTTATGGATATAATGAAGATTTTCCCATAAATATCGTTGCAAATTTAAAAAATAGATTATTTAATAACCCCCATAATATAATACGATGCCTACAAAAAGGTTAAAATATGATAATGTAAACAGATAGCTATTTAATTCCTAAAGCTATGTAGGAGACTGAAGGAGGAGCCCAGTAGTGATGTTCGGGAGAAGAAAAAACTCTGGAAACCGGAGTCGGGTCGGGAAATGACATCGGGAGTTGGGATCGGGAGTCGGATTTTATAATAAAAAAAACCTTTAAAAAATAAAATTTTACGAAAAAAGCCATTCTTAGGGGTGTAAAGATTTCCCGACTTAGTCGGGAATTGATATCGCAAGTGGGGATCGGGAGACCAAAAACTAAGGAAATTTTCCATAGATGGGAGTCGGAATCGGGATACCCGAACCAATAGTGCCCAGTTCAGCTTTACTACATACATATACATATTTATTTTAATTAAAAGTGGTACTATGATCATGAATTAGATTTGTGTTTAACTTTTGTTTATAAAGGATGTGGTGGAAATAAAAACGGCTTTAAGTCAAGAGCTGAATGCCGTCGGTGTCGTCTAAGTAAGAAATTATTTAATGATTTTTTGAAAATTGTTTCTATAGAAATTTAAGCCTTAACATATTTAAATATTTAACATATTTAAGCCTTAACATATTTAAATATTTAACTTATTTAAACCTTGCATACTTAAAAATATGTTTATCACACCCCTAAGCTAAATGAACAAACTTATTCGAACGATAATATGTATGTATAATTCGAATTATTCAAAGCAGAAAATAAATAATGAAAGGCGATTCGTTTTAACCACAAAATTCTAATAAATATCAATTCATAAGAATTATGAAAAAAACACCTAAAAATATCTTTTTCTCTTCACCAAGAAATATACTTTTATTTATTATAAAATGAATTTTAAACTAAAAACGACCCATTATATCTTTAAATAGGTATAAGTATTTAATAATGATAGGTATTTAATAAAATTTTATAGCGGACGATGGAAAAATCAGTCTTAGGTGTTCAATTGGAAAAGGAGAAAAATTAATTCCATGCGGAAATAGACATAAAATCGAAACAGTTTATCATGGAAGTATAAATAAATGTCCTCCAGGCTATACTTGTAGCCCTTTTTATAAAATGGATTATTGTTGTAACGGGGGTATACACTCTGTCACAAAAGTATAAGCACCCCTAAAATTTTTGAAAAAACACATGATCTCTTCACATTATTTTTTTAATTTTTTTCCTACATTAGCAGGGATCCAAAACATAACTAAAAATAAAGTTTCAGAAAATTCTATCGATTTAAAAATTTTGAAATTGAATTTTCTCGAAAATCATGTGTCACAAAAGTATAAGCACCCCTGTGAAAATTTTATTTCTACTTATTTTAAAATTCTACAAAAAATACAGTAAATATGTCTATCGATATTATGAAAAATAAAAAAAGAATTAGGCCCATATCTCATTCCAGTATCGATATCTTGATACCCTGAAAATCAACGTAAAACAGGGTTTTTCAACTTTAAAAAAAATTTTCGACCTCTTATAGGTTGTTTTAAATTTTCAATTTGAGCTCATTCGAAAGCCCTTTAAATTTGCTACAAAATAGCATAAATCTTATTTTCTAGAAAAATTATTTCAGTAAGTTATTAAGTTTTAAATTTCTAAAGCACAAAAAACGTCCAAATGCCCCATAAAATTAGATCCTGAGGATTAACGTCCTGTATATCCCTATTGAATTTTTTCTGAAAAATAAAACTTATGCTATCTTGTAGCAAATTTAAAGGGCTTTCGAATGAGCTCAAATTGAAAATTTAAAACAACCCATAAGGGGTCGAAAAATTTTTTTAAAGTTGAAAAACTCTGTTTTACGTTGATTTTCAGGGTATCAAGATATCGATACTGGAATGAGATATGGGCCTAATTCTTTTTTTATTTTTCATAATATCGATAGACATATTTACTGTATTTTTTGTAGAATTTTAAAATAAGTAGAAATAAAATTTTCACAGGGGTGCTTATACTTTTGTGACACATGATTTTCGAGAAAATTCAATTTTAAAATTTTTAAATCGATAGAATTTTCTGAAACTTTATTTTTAGTTATGTTTTGGATCCCTGCTAATGTAGGAAAAAAATTTAAAAAATAATGTGAAGGGATCATGTGTTTTTTCAAAAATTTTAGGGGTGCTTATACTTTTGTGACAGAGTGTATAAGTAAATCTTATTAAATAAAAATAATTTAATAATTAAAGATTTATATTACAAAAATGTTTTCCCAACTTGTAAAAATGGCAAAGAAGCTTTGGAATATCTTGGAAAGTTATGTGAAGAGGAATTTTGTCCTTTAGATACAAATTGTATCCAATTGGAATTACTTGCACATTGTTGTCCAAAATAAATTTTATTATAAATTTATTTTTTATTTTAATTATTTTCTAGTAAATTAAATTATTGAAAAGTTTCCAAAAATTTATCTAACGAATAAAATTAAAATTTTAAGTATGGGATTTATAGGCAAATGCCTAGATTCTTTGCAAGCCTAGAATAACGTTAATTGCTTAAAAACTGCTTTCGAATAGAAAGTACGAAGTTCTAATCGTACTTTTTATTTGCACATTCTTGCATTTTTATGGTTTTTTGTTACTATTTTTATTTTTTGGATTTCAAAAATTTGAGAGAGTTGTAGCAAAAATCTCTGAGTGTTCACACTTGTCACAGTTTTTAATAAATTTTAAAGGACTTAATATACAAAGGTTAAAGTTTATTTGGGAATATTATTGCCTATTTTTGCATTTAGTTGGTTTATTTCAGAATTAAATTGAAAAAATGTTAAGTAAATATTTTTATTCCATCACTAAATTTGAAATTCTGACTAGAATTAGAACTGATTTTTTGAAATGTGTATTATACATTTTTACAGAATTAAATATTTATCTCCTTGATAAAAAATTGTGTTTAATAAAAAGAGCAGAGTTTCCTCTACTATAATAATAAAAACAAAAAATACGTTAAAATTAAGAATCTAAAGATTTGTGCTGTATTAGCAAGTGTATTCTAGTGTATATTTTATTTATAATTAAAGTAAAAATGAATCATTTCTATCTAAATATTTTATGGGGAATTGTTTTTAATAAATATCTACATAATTATTTTGATAATTTTTTTTATTTTTAATTGAATAAATGAATTTAATTGCTAAATTTAATTTTCCTTTTCAAAATTTTTTAATTAAAATCATTTTAATTTCTTTATTATCAATTAATATTATTTCAATAAATATTACTTTCGAAGAAGCTAAAAAGAAATCTCCAATTCCGTTTATTGAAAGCTTTTGGTTTTTTGTAATTCTTTTCAAAAATTAATAAATTTTATTTTTAAGTGATTCTAAAAGGTCTGTATCTCGGTCCAATCAAGTCGGATTTTATCGATTTTGGTGTCATTCGACTCAGCTTGATGGGTTCTACAATTGTTGTTCAGACTGACCATTCTTACATATTTTCCAAAAAATTGACTAGGGGAGGGAAACTAAATAAGTACCCCCTAAACCTGGCTAGGGCCTGTGACTCAGTGCCGTTATAATCTTTAAAAGCTTGTTTATTTGGTAAAATGTGGAAACAAGATTGCTATATTTAATAAAAAATATAAACTATTTAAATTGTGTTTGTAATTTATTATTAGACAAATGTGATGAATGTTATTTTTTAATTGAAAATTTGGCCCTATCTTAAATGAGGTGCGTAATCATATTTTTCCTCCTTCTTTTCACAAGGTAAAAAGGGTCAGTTTTTCCTTAGTATTTAATTTGTGTTGATTTTGCCTTAAGGAAAAATAATGCAGGAGGACTAATTTTTTTACATTTTCTTTTCTGCCCGTGTTGTCTGTCCGTCTTCGTCCTTGTTCGTCTATCGTGTACGTGTATGTACAGACAAAACTCAGATGAGCAAGGACAGACAGAACACGGACAGACAAAACTCGTCTGTCCGTGTTCGTCCGAGTTTTGCCTGTACGTACACGATAGAGAACAAGGACGAACACGGACGAAGACGGACAGACAAAACTAGAGACCGGCAAAATCGCGTTTGCGGGATCCCGCGGGACTAAATTTTTTTCAAAAATCCCTGGTCACCAACAGTGCTGGGTATGGCTCCGGGAGCTAGCTCCGGAGCAAAGATTTTGAAACCCCGGAGCTCGGAGCCGGAGCCGAAGCCAAGATTTTGAAACCCCGGAGCCGGAGCCAACAAATGGCAAATACCCAGCACTGGTCACCAACCTCCAAAAATATCGCATGGGAACAAGATCTTATTCGACGAGGATATTCAAATAACAAATTAATATAGCTGATCTGAATCAAATGTGATTCAATCTAACATTTCGACAATTTCGTTTTGTCGAAAAAAAGTGAAGCACGCATGTGAAAACTTTGTTTGGCCTATACATATCTCCCGCAAAATACAAAATATTTTGCGGGATCCCGCGGGATAAAATTTTTAAAAAAATCTTTGCGGGACGGGATCCCGCGGGATAAATCCCGCAAAATCCCGCACTCCCGCAAATCGTAAAAAGTGCGGGATTGCGGGAGCGGTATACCGCAAAATCCCGCGCGGGATCCCGTCCCGCGCCGGTCTCTAGACAAAACACGAAGACGGACAGACAATACGGGCAGAAAAGAAAATGTAAAAAAATTAGTCCTCCTGCATTATTTTTCCTCAGGGTAAATCAACACAAATTAAATACTGAGGAAAAACTGACCTTTTTTACCTTGTGAAAAGAAGGAGAAAAAAATATGATTACGCACCTCATTTAAGATAGGGCCGAAAATTTTATTAAATTTTACATATGTATGTATGTATGTATGTATTTGTCGTTTTAGTTATTTTAATTTAATAAAAAAATAATTATTTTTTAATGACAAAATTTTTTTAATATTTACATATAAAAAATATTTTTAAGTAGAAAAGAGATTAAAAGAAAAATTTTAAATGTAATTTTAAAAATTTCAATCAAAAAATCAACAGAATCTTCAAAAAATGAGCTTTTCTTAATCTTCTAAATGAGTTCAATTTTTAAAATCTACTCTTTATCACTAAGAGAATCACCTTCTCGAGCAATAATATTTAGAGCATCGTCTGAATAAATAAAAGAATTTTTGGAAGAGTAGCTTATAGAGATCGGAAATTTTGAAAAGCCTGGGCCTGTTCCTGGGTTCCGTGTTTGATTTATTGACCTGGGCGGATCCTGGGCCTGTAGTACAGGAAAAACCCAGGCCCAGGAAAAACCCAGGAAGGTCAAAAAATGCCTGGGCCTGGACTCTGGGTACAGGAAAAACAAAGGCCTTGGTCCAGACCCAGGCCGATCTCTAGTAGCTTATATAAATATAATTTAAAAATTTATTTTAAAAATTTAATTCCCCAAAATTTGCCAATATTTTATAAATTTTATTTTAAAAATTAAAATATAGAGACTCAAATGAGTTTATTACTTTATCTATCTTCGGCAAAAACAAATCAATATAGGTAAGCACGCATCTATCCATTATTTCCAGTCGTAAATGAAAGAAACGACCATTATTTTCCAGTCGTAAATGAAAGAAACGACCTAACCGGTAGGACTCAATCGTCCCCTTTTATATACACACTTTTTGCGATGACGTGCCTTTCTATTGAACAAATTAATTTGCTAGGATTAACCGAATAATGAAATATCCTCCTTGTCCAATACAGCTATTAACTAGAATGTAATACTTCAATAGAATCTATCCAATCATTTCAAATCATGATACAGTATATTTTGATTGTTTTCCTTAAAATTAAAAATAATTACACAATATTTTAGCCGATCTGTCCCTAATATATTTATTGGCCCCAACGTATGCCCCTAATATACCACAATAATAAATATGAAATTGGAACAACAAACCCAAATCTTACTCCCAACTAAAATTAAAAAACGAAAAACTATACCCCCCGAATTGCTTGTTGATATATTCAAAACCATCAACACTTATCCATATGAACTGTCGAGAGGTAGATTAAAGGATTCAGATGCCTTTTATATTAAAATATTGTTAAAAGGTTTGTGGAAGATGTATGCTGAAAAGTTGATGACTTCTTCGTCCATTGTCTATTTATCGGCTGGAAATGCTTTCCGACAATGCAAGGTTGATTAATTAAGAGAATAAATAAATAGAATACCTAAAAATAAAAGTGAAATATAGAAATATTGACAATTAGGCGAGGGGCGGGGGTTATTCAAAACGTGATAGATATCTTTTGACATAATTTTATAAAGTTACCCTTTAATTTAAGAACAAGATTAGAGGGTTTAAAGACAAAAGTATTCGTTAAACAATTTGTTGTGGTGCTTTTATAATGGACTTCTTTCTCTTTCCTTTGGTCCATTTGGCAATATAGATATTAAATATTGACGAGGTAAATGTCATAGGTAATAGAATATTGAGATGCCAATGTTAAGTTGACTTTTAAGCTCCCCTAGTCTTGTTTTTAAATTAAAGTTTTCTAACGCGTAGTAATAATTTTTAAAAAGTTCTCTAGAAAATGAGAAGATACATATTTCACACATGAATCTTTTTCGTTCCCGAAAACCAGGAAAAACATTATAAATTGAAAAAAATGAAAATTTTTCTTCTGAATTTTCTAGTTTTGCAGCTCATTTTCGTTATTTCAGCGGGGGACACGCCCACATTGTCGCGCGGCCACATTGTCGCCGAGCCATAACTTGCTAAAAAATTTCTGGCCCTTATCAATTTTGGTACCAATCTCTTTATCTCGATGAGAGGAATCGTTTAATACTAAATTTGGAAAGATTCGGAAATCTTAAAGCAAGCTATGGCTCGGCGACAATGTGGCCGCGCGACAAAGTGGGCCGTACCCTTTCAGCGGCAACGTTTACACTGAAACGTCCCCGTTGGGGTCAGTTGAGCCCCGCCAGTTGAGCGCCAGAGAACTTTGATCGGCTATAACTTTTTGAGCCTTGATCCAATACAAATAAGTTTTATATCATTCAAAAGCCCTCGATAAGCGGTATCTTTTTTCCAGCTGGATGGATAAGTCTGATCACCGGTTGAAAAGTTACAAGTCGATAAGTGCAGGAAATCGTTGTTTTTCACACTTATCAACTTGGAACTTTTTAACCGGATCAGACTTGATCCATCCATTGGAAAAAAGATACCGCTTATCGAGGGCTTTTGAATGATATAATAATTATTAGAAGTGATTCAAGCACAAAAAAGTTATAGCCGATCAAAGTCGGCTGGCGCTCAACCTGCGGGGCTCAACTGGCCCTCTCCGGAAACGTCCCTACTCTAAAATTCTTTCGGTCGGGTCAGTTGAGTCTGACCGGTGAGTGTTAACCAGCACACTAAACCTGTATACTCAACTGCCCCCAATCCGTTTTTCTTTTTCTATTCAAAAGATAAAAAATATCAAAAAATATTTTTGTTCTAAGATACTTTTTTATTTCAGAAAAATATAAATAAATTAATTTAGAAAAAAATAATGTCGTCTTCTAAAAATATTTCTTTTGGAGAGGAGAGTAAGCCTATTGACATGTTTTCTGCTGATGAGAAACAAGCAATTGAGATCTTGAAGAATAATGACTATTCAGAAGATCCTTCTACAAATGCTTATTGGGCACTTAAGTTTATGAATGTTTTGGGTGCGAAAAGAACTTTGGAAAAGACTAATGAATCTTACTTGGTTTTTTTAATTTTTAGAATAGTTTTCGGTAAGAGTCATGGATGTGGGCATGCTCTGATATAGACAAGTTATATTTCATTTGAAATATCTCGGCGAGAGCAGTCGAATGCTACCAAAATCACTGAGTGGGCCACTTTAAGCCATCGAGACAAGCCGAGATATAAGTCCCCAAAGAAGCGTCTCGCTACCCCATGTGTTTACTTATTTAATTTTGTGCGTAACTTTTTCCAAAATTGTTCGATCATGTTGATTTTGGTTCGATCTGAGTCGAAAAACACCTTTTACGTCTATATCCGGTCGAGCATTATCGTTTTATTGGGGATTGACCATTATGAGCTTTTGTATCACGATCCATAGTTGAATCCCTTTTTTCTTTGTGTCATTCGACTCCTCTCGTCGAGCTTTTTCAAATGACATAATTTGTCCATATCCGAGACTGGCCTGTATTCTTGACTTTTCCTCATTTTCCATTGGAATTTCTAGTATAAAGTCACTGGAGTTTTTGTCACAAGTATTTTTCTGAATGATGATCATCAAATCTTTGAAATTTTGGCCCCTAAAAATTAAAGTATTTTCGTAATTTTACTCTTTCAATTCTCGAGAATTCTGGGGATTAAAATTCCATCGGCTGAACTTAACCTTACTTGATCTTATTTTTAAAGCCTTTTAAGCCCGTGTCTGGTAAAAACGGCAGTGGTGAATTGGGCAGTGAGTAATTTGGGCAGTGAGTGATTTGGGCAGTAAACGTTTTTTAAAAAATAATTTTACACGCAAAAACAATTTGAGTAACGTTAGAAGAATAATTTTGAGTGATCTGGGCAGTAACTTATAATTTTTAAATTATTTGCACAGAAATTCAAAGAACCGCACCCCTTTTTCATTTTGATAACGTTGTAGGTACAACATTACCCTTTGTTGAAATCGTCTTGGTCTCAATTTTGACGTTTCCCTAAGTGATAAGTAGATTTAAGGTATGAAAAATTGAGAAATAATTCCTATTTTAAGTTTTTAGGTCTCAAGATAGGTCCAAAATATCTGAAAAAGGTCAAAATAGTTTTGGAAAAATATGTTTAAATTTTGGATTTAATTAAGTTAAATAAAAATTTCCGGAATTTTTCTTATCAATTTTAAATAATTTAAAAATTATAAGTTACTGCCCAGATCACTCAAAATTATTCTTCTAACGTTACTCAAATTGTTTTTGCGTGTAAAATTATTTTTTAAAAAACGTTTACTGCCCAAATCACTCACTGCCCAAATTACTCACTGCCCAATTCACCACTGCCCAAATCACACGGCACCTTTTAAGCCTTATAGAAAATACCTTTATTATTTAGAGTCAAATTGTTGCTTTAAAATCTCAAATTTTTCTACACGAAATTCAAAAGTCTAAACTTGAAAAAGGATTGGTGGCTTCTCCTGGAAGTGTTACTGGTAAATCAACTGGTACACCAACTGGCACTGGCATTGTTAGTCCAACTGGCATTGTTAGTCCAGTTTGTTTTTATTTTTATAATGGGTGAGATGGGATCTTTTCTTTGATAATCGGTAATACTTTGGAAGTCGACCTCCTGACCATTATGGGCCTTTTTGATATATAATTCTTCGAGTTGGGTCGGAGGATACCATGATCGGTTAGATTTGATTTTCTTTAACAAAATGATGAAGTCGAATCCTTGATGGAAGGGTTTTTAAGACAAATAATGATAACTTTGTTGACTCCATTGATTTTAGTGTCATTTATCTCAGCTCGAAAATCTTTCAAATTATCTATAATTTGCCATAAAATAATCAAAAAATAGAAACGAAAAAAAAGTGGGGAAGGCGACTTCCAAAGTATTACATACCTGATAATCTTGAAGTTATTTGGTTAAATTATTTTTTCCAAATCTATTTTCCCAAGTTTCTTATTTTTAATTTTATTCAGAAGCAATCGACTTCAACTTCTTCAGTTGTTAATATTGTGGACCAAGTATGTGCTGTTTGTGAGACCAATCCGATTAGTTAGTTTTTAGTTTTAAATTTTATTTTATAATTATCTCATTTTTAGAACATCTTTACAAAGATCACTGGATTTGTGGCTCTTGTTACGTAAGACATTTTTATAAAAGGTCCTATTCTAGTTTATTTTGGCCTTTCTTTACATTAGACTCTTGGGGAAATTTTCCAAATTTTTAAAATATTTAATAAAAATTTTACTTTTCAGACGCGTCCTATTAAACCACATGCCCCTTGTTCAAATAATGGGGAATGTAAGACGTATCAATTATTGAAGGTGAGTTCTCACTTCATTGTTATAATTAAAAATTTAATGCTTTTTAGTGCCCACCTTGCCGATTAAAAAAATTCAGTCAGCTTGGAATTGTTAAAACGCCAAGCAAACCTGAGAGCAAGAAGGTATTTTTTGTCTATAAAAAATTTTTTTCTGACAAATTTTTATTTAGGAAGAGGGGTCAAATGAGAGGAAGAGAAAGCTTGCTGAGCTTACTGGGGAAAATCCTGATATTGTTTGTGAAGACACTCCACCACAATAAGATGTTTGAAGGGTGTTGGAAAGGTTTTTTGCATTATTTTTTCTCTTCAGGAGTTTATGAATTAAATATTTATTTTAAATTTATGCGGAGACAATTAAAAATTAAAATACACACAAATTAAAATATGCCCTTTTAAAAAATCTTTTTTTTAATTGATATACTCTCTCCACTGCCTCTATATATATTTTTGATTTTTTTTTGAAGTGAATACATAATTTTTTTAAATCCTCCTCTTTTACCATAAAAAAATACATACACAAATTTCTTGGAAACTTTAAAAATCCTATTTCATAAAAAATATGTATTCTCTTCCATTTTTTGCCTAAAAATAATTTGTAAAAAATATATTTTGACTAAAAATATCTTTCAAAAAATTTTTGAAATTTCTTCAAAAAATTTCATTTCTAAAAATTCCAGTTTTCAGAAATTCAAAAAATTTTTGAAATCGTTTTTTGTTTTTTCTCAATTACATATTTATGTAAATTATTTTTGAATTCCAATAAATATTTTTTAATTTAAACATCTTTCCCTTCCATTTAATTTTTTATTTTTCATACAAATCAACCCCAATTACACCTAAAATAAAGATGATTTTTCTAATAACCCCCATGATGGCCTAATTTTACAATTACAATACTTTTTGTAAAAACAGCTTTTTGAACGCATAGGCAATCCCGTTGATTAGGGGAGCTGTAAAAAAGTAAAAAATAAGGATGGGTGTGTGTACCAGGAATGGATTTTCTTCTGCCTTCCGCTTTTTTCTCTTCCGCTAAAAATACACCCCTATTGACGGTCAGGGCCCGGATTTTAAGTTGTAGCCAGTGATGGGTATTGGGCTTTTGTTAGCTCCGGCTTTCAAAATCTTAGCTCCGGCTTCGGCGCTTAAAATAATTATCTTTTTTTAACGTGCATATAATTTAAGATTACAGGTTTTTTAATTAAGGATTTTTTAATGTTTTTTGTGTAAAGTCCAGTTTTGCCAATTTGACAACTCTTCATTTTTCCGATTGAAACTGGGAAAAGACTACAAAAATGTTTTCTTTTCCTCCTTTTTCACCGATAAAATTCGGGCTGTGCCATTTATTCAACAACACATTAATATTTCTTAGTATGATTTTAATAGTATAAGGAAGAAAATTGTTTTCGAGTTTATTAAAAAATAGTATGCCCCTCTTTATTGTAAAATTTTTTTCAAACTTAAAAAAATTAACAGAAAAACATATTTTTGAGCACAAAAATAAATAGAAAATAATGCAAAAATTATATAAAAAATAAAAAAAACTTTGAATTTTGTTTTTAAGTATTTTTTTCAATCTTTTTTAATGTAAAAAGCTCTCCTTTCAAGTCTTTTCTTTTAAAAATTGTCCCACATTTTTTAAAGAATTTTGGGTGGAGGAGATGGCGGGGGAAGCAAAGAAGCAGAAGAAAAATCTTCGTCCTCTTCATTATTATTATTATTAGCAGCAGCCATAATACAAATTTTCGAGGGAGGTGGTTGTGGTGGTGATAAAAATGTTGGTGGAGGTAAAAGAAGAAAAGAAGTGGGAGGAGGAGAAATTTTTTTGTTGTTTTTGTTGAGGTCTGGAAAAATGTTTTTTATAATTTTTAGAGAATATTCTTTAGAGGAGGAAATATTTTTAGAAAAGGCAAAAAAATTTAATTTAAAAAAATTACATCTTCCCCACACACTATAGATAGTGCGAAAGGAACACAAAAAATTATTACATTTTTTCAAGTTATACATATTTCGGCAAAATTCTCTCAATTTTTTTTATTCACAAAATTCAAAATTTTCTTTTATTAAGGCTCATTCAAGCCTGTAAGCTAGGATTTTTTTCAGGCGGGGGGCCAAGGGAAGGGACTCGAGAAGAGCCTGGGCTCATATGAGAAAAAAAAATTTTTTTTGGAGAATTTAAACCGAAAAGAAAAATTAAAAAAATACTTTTCCTGCCTTTTTTGTTGTTGCTGTCCATTTGAATAAACATTTAAATGCAAATATATGACTGAGGATGCAAAATGGTCGTGCCCTCCAGGCTATAAATGCCTACCCGGATTTTCCACTCGGGGTTGTTTCGAAATTTCGATTTTCTAGGGTTTTTCTTTAGATTCGTTTCCCAATTTTGACTTTTTGGTGATATTTTCGATTTTAAAAGCAAAAAGGGGGAATTCTGGCTTCTTGGCCATCGGTTAATCAAAAAATTTTTGGAAATGAAGAGTGGTTACTTTTATTTTCCCAATTAGGTTTACCCAAGTAAGCGTTGAGATATCTGGTCTTTTTTTTTGTTTTGTCTTAACAATTAAAAGTTGCTGGTTTAACAACTGAAATTAATTTTCCTGGCAAGTGTCGCTAGTAAACAGAAAAAGGGAGAAATCTGGCTTATTGCCCTTCCAAGATTCTCAAAATTTTCGCCCCATAAAAGTCTGATAACCCTTTGTAAAATTTGAGCGCCACATTTCGCCGACTGAGCGCTACATACTCACCAGTCGCCTGCAAATTCTTTTCCAATTATTATTTTTGATTTCCGACCTTCGATTTTTGAGGGTTTTTTGTTTCGAAACAACTCAGTTCCTGGTAAATGTTGTAATATTACAAATCAACGTATGTTCGGAATATTTTAATTTTAAATTAACTTTTTAGAAATATATGATAAAAATACAAGAAAAAACCAAAATGTAAAAATGGCAAAGATCCGTCTGAATATAATGGCTGGTCTTGTAAAGATGAATTTTGTTCTCAAGAGGAGGAATGTATTCAATTAGAAATATTTGCTCATTGCTGTCCTAAATGAATTTTCAATAAATTTTATTTCGTTTATAAATACCGTAAATCTTCTAAGAGATTAAGAGGATAACTAGGATTAGGTGAATGAAGCCAATGAAGTCATCTCCGGAACCGGATCCGAAAGCCGGATATCCGCATCCGCCAACCCTATATATCCGCATCCGCCAAACTATTTGTTAAAAATATTTATATTTTACTATAAATTAAATATAATTTTGACAAAAATTAAAATAATGTTTGTATATATTATTTATTATTATTAAACATAAACTGGTCGATTCCCTCCATCGCCAACGGCTACAATTGTATTAGCTGGCTCTACAACATCTGCCCTTTCTCCATCATCTTCATCAAATTCATCAGAGAACATTTCCCGTCCCGCGGTGAAACCAACTAGGTCTGGAGCCATTCGTCCTTAAAAAAATTCAATCTTAATAATTATTTTTTAAATATTTTTTAACTAAATACACAAATATCTATGTTAATTAAATAGTCACTTAAATACAAATTTCCATACATCTTCATGAAATGGATGTTAAGAAATATTAATAACCTGTTAGTGTAAAATGTTTGCGAGCATATAAAACACCAAAAACGAGAAGGACGGTACTTAGCAGCTAAAATTAAAAAATATTTTAATTATTATTTTACGATTTTTGGGTACTTTATCTATATTTAAAATTTTTATTTTTATCTCCATTTTTAAAGAATTTTTGGTTAAAGCCACGACATGCTTAACTTCGAACCTTTCAACCCAGATATGCCCACTGAACTTTGCGGAGTTGACTCCAAAGTGTCGGGTCCAACTTTATCTAAACTCAAATACCGAAATTAAACAAAAGTACACGTTTTATTCTGTTTGTTTATAAAGTATCTTTTATAATGTATAACAAACCATAAAGACCATAATAACCATTGTTTTAGCCATCGGTGATGTACTCTTAAGGGGTGGCCCACATTCAATTTTTGCTTGAGCTTCATAAAGGCCTAGACCTTTAACATTTTCCGGTGATTTACATCAAAAAAAGGCAGAAAATATTTAACATAATACTCCCAAACAATACAAACTTTGGTATTTCAAATTCAGCAGCCGTTCTCATTGCATTTTCATTTTTCATTAGCCATTTAAGTTCACAATCACAATTCTATTAAAATTTTATTTTTTATTCTCTTATTTTTATTACCCAAGGATTTCCTTCAAGTCTCAATCTTTGCATTGTACTCCAATAAACATTTTTAAGTGTCCCTTCATGTAAATTAGTAAAATTACAGTTTTTGAGGTTTATTTGTTTTAATTCCTTTGGTGCTGATTTTCCAAAGGCATTGGCATCTAATTCGTTTAGAGATTTTGATTCTGAGAAGTCTAGGCTCTAAATTAAAGTAAATATTGTTTTAAAAAATAAAGTATATTATTTTTAGTTAAAAGGTTGAACAAAGATAAATTTAAAATCTTTTCTTCAACTCCTACCTATTAAGCAATAATAAACAGAGAATTACAGTCTGCCCTCGATATAAATAACCTCGTTTTAATAACCCTTTCGAAATAACAAACTTTTCTTAGTACCTTCGAGTTTGTTATACCGAGATTTGACTTTATATTATCTTAACTAATTTTAAAATACATAGGTATCTTTATAAATAAATAAAATATTTTTATTTTAAATTACCTCAAGTTGTTTTAATCCACAAAATGCGCAGTTGTCAATTCGTTTTAGATAACGACTCTTTTGCATATCTTAATTTAGAAATTAAATAAACATTATTTCTTCCTTTAAAAATTAATTCTAATTTTCCTTACAAAATTTTTTAAGTTTAGGCGCCGCTGCAGCCAATTCCCCATTATTGAGTGCCTCCAAGTAAGTATCTGACATTACAAGTATTTCAAGTTTTGGTAACTTTTCTGGAGATATAGCTTTGGGGATAGAACGGAGCGGGTTGCCAGATAATGAAAGAGCTCGAAGATTGCTTTAAAATTGTTTTAAATTTATTAAAAGTTATTTTTAAATTATTTTTGAACTTAAAACACCTAGATTTTATTTATTTAAACAAAATATTTTTTTTATATTTTTTATTTTAAAATTTATTTTTTATAAATAAAATTAACAGAAATTAATAAAATATTAGATTTCTCCCAAAATTATTAGACTTACGGCAAATTTTCAAACAAATCATCATCTAATTTGTCTAATGAGCAGCGATCGAGGGAGAGAATTTCCAAATTTTTAAGTGATGGAGATAAAACCTAGATAAATAAATGATCATTTAAATTAATCTTTTAAAACTTTTTTTGAAATTTCCAGTTCTTTATTTCCATCAAGTATTAATTTTCGAAGACTTTTAAGGTTGTTAAATACACCATCATCCAATTTACCTTTGGAAATATATTAATTATAAATTATACTTTAATAATTATTAATACTTAAAAAATTATAATCCAAATATAATTGATGTAAAGATCCGAGGAATTTTGTGAAAATATCACTAAAATTAAAGAAATATTTATTTAATTTTAAAATTAATTATTTTCTATTATTTTAATTATCATTTCTTTTAAAATTTAATAATTCGTCTCAAAAAAATATGTTTTTTAATTTAAAAGTCAACACATACTCGCTTAATTCGTCCAAATTATTTTGAGTTAATTTTAATTCCAATAAATTAACAAAATTGTCAAGAGAACCAGGCTCTATATCAGCAATTCTATTTTGAGAAAGGTCCAATGAAAGTAAAGATTTTTCTTGGCCAGGAAGTATTTTGTTCTGTTTAAAAGTCATTTATTTGTTTTAAAAACATTAAATTTGTGTTTTCAGCTTAGATTTAGCGCTACTTTAAGATACTCAAGTAAAAAAGGATATAAAAATTTAAAATAAATAATTTGGATTGAGGATTCATCAGTCTAATCTTTAAATTCTTTTATTCACTTCCCTACTATTTTCACATTATCTCGGACATGAAGTCCATATTATAAGGACTTAAATATTAACTAAATATTATTTATAAATAAAATTTAAATACCTTAAAAAGGTAACTAATATAATTACGTTCCAAATGTGCAATAGCTATAGGCCCTATTTCTTTTGGTACAATTAAATTTGCATTGTTTAAGCCTTGAGCTCCACACTTTAATGTTTGATTCCCGCCACGAATACATTCACAAACACTTTCCTCTTTTTAAAATTTTTTAAAAAAATGATAAAAAATCATTTTTACTTTTGGAATTATCGCACACATAAATTCGAGCCGGTGCTTGTTTTTCTTTGCTAGAATACTTAAATTACAAAATCATATGTATAAAATAAAAATTTGTTATATTTATTCAGGATAATCTCTCATCTTCCCCAGACAAAAAATTAAAAATATTTAAGTAAGTTTAATTTAATTTGTACACAAAAGCAATGGTACACTTATGTACTATATTTCAACAAAAGCTTCTTCAATGGTTTTTTAAATATAAACTAGCCTGAGTTTTAGACTCTGGATCATAATCTTCATCTTCAAAAGAAGAATCTTCCCAACTATCACGCCAACTACTATCATTTTTAACAAAAACAAAAAGAGATAATATTAAGGATATTAACAATTTAGTGTTCATTTTTTCTTTTTAAATCCTTTTCTTAATTGAATTTAAATAAAACTATAACTATCTTTCGCACCAAGTTAAGAGGGGTAAATTTTTATAAAATATTTCAAAATAAAATTTAATAATTAAAATATAAAAATTTTTATGAAGCAAAATAATATTTTAAACAAACAAAATTATAAGGTAGTTTACTTAATGACTATTAAAAATTGATAGTCCCTAGTTTTTTTCTAAATCATAGAAATTTATTAAATATTAGAAAAATATATATTTATTATTTCGAAATTCTAATTTTCAATTAATTAAAAATAAAAATTAAAATAATGAATTTAATTTTCATAAAAACGCTGAAATATGTCAGACAAGATAAGGCGATTAATTGACAAACAAAATTTACTTATGACACATTCTATTTAAAATTAAATTATTTAAAATAATCAATGAAAATACCTAAATATATTTTTGGTTTGTGGGTTAACGCCAGCTTTTTGGTTATTTACTGATAATTTTAGGAAAAATTGATAAACAAATTATTTAAAGGAATGGAGCCATTAAAAAATAGAATTATTTATTTTTATCTAAATTACAACAATTATAAAAAAAAAAGTTATAATTAGCTCCTTTGCATAAATATGAAAAACAGTAAAATTTATTGAATTATAATGATTTTCAAATTGTGATTTTATTAAAATAAAGTTTTAAATAAAATAATGTTTTGAAGTAATTTATATGTAAAATCTCCATTGTAAATATATCCTTTAAGATGAAAATATTTGTAAAGTCAAGGTTCTACCAAATTTTTAATTTTTAAAATTATTTAGAAACATATGTATGTAGAGTTGTTTTCGAGTTTTTCAAAATCGAACCAGCAAATAAACTTCTGTTTAAGGCAAAGATAAAAATAATTGAGATGATGAGAAATAATTTATTAAATAATTGTTTTTTTGTAATTTTTTCTTGTAATTTATTATTTATTTATAACTTTTGATTGTTCCTTTGTTTTTGTTCTACTTTTTTCAAACCGTTTTACACAAACACAGAAACTGCTATTTAGTGTTAAAAGATCTCCAAACGAATCCAATAAAGGCATATTTTTATTTTCTATGAAGAGGCACAATTTTTTTATTTTACTTGTTCACTATCCAAAATCTTAAATCTCCTTGGCAAGGCAATAAATTGAAATTATTTTTAAATTAAAATTAATGTCAAGTGGATATTTATTAAATTAATTTTTTTATTTAAATAAATTGTTTTAAATGTTTGTTTGGATAAGTAATCTTAAAATAAAGTAAACATTGGAAATATTTTTTAAAATAATTTTCAAGTATTTCTAAAAATATTATTAAATCTTTGCCATTTTTTAAATTTAATTCTCTCAAAAAATCCACTTTTAAATTAAAAATTTTTATATTTTAAAGTGGATTTGTTTCAATTATTTTAATTGCTTTATTTGATTTTTGCCATTTTTCACCTCTTCAGTTAAAATCAAAAATTACTTTTTAATTTAACTTAAAATTCGTCTTTTTTTTAATTTAAAATATAAATAAATAATTAATTAAATAAAATTAATTTATTCGAATACCTTTAACTACTTTAAAAAAATAATTTAATTATAATTAAATAAAAATTTAATTTATGTTTTAATATTAGTATTTTGTTCACAGGATTGAGAAGAATTTTGTAAAGAAAAAATATTCAGGTCTAAAATTTAGAGCAGAAAAATTTCTGACTTAACAAATACTCCACAAAAATTAAGAATCATTGAAAAATAAAGGTTTCTAATTAAGAATTTATATCAACTTTATTTTAAATAATGCTTTAGATTTCATAACTAAATTAACAATCAAAATTACTATACTTCACAAAATTTTATATTCTAATTTTTTTTCCTAATTTTAAACAGAAATTGTCATTAAATTGCATTCTCCTATTTACCAAAATTTTTATTTCGTTTCGAGATCAAATAAAAACCGGTTATATATTTGTAGTCATTCATCAATTTTTTTAATTCTCTTTTTTTTTATTTATTAATCATCCCCGTTCTCCTCCAAATCCTCTTTTTCTAATTGTATCAATGATCAATTTTTTATTTTAATTAAAATACAAAATCTCAGCGCAAACAAACGACTAATTTAAAATAATTAATTTTTAACGGAAATATACAAAAAAAATTTTAATAAAATTTTTTAATTAAAAATTTTTTAATATAATTCAAAAATTTTGATTATTAATATATTATAGCTACATAATTCACTAAATTCTGTTAAACATAATTAATAGGTTACATATTTATTTTTAATAAAAATGTCATTTTTCAATAAATTTATTGTTTAAAAATAAAAAGTAAACCACCGTTTCAGATGCTTTAATTTGGAAAGCCTTCATCCATCCATTTGTTATTTTCTAAACTGAGATCCGGCTGATATACTAAATTACCAAAATTAATTATTGCTAGAAACCAGGCTCGGGATTTATCAAGATTCTGATCATATCTCAAAAATAACGATTCTATGCCCATAATTTTGAGCATTTATTCGTCCTTGTTCTTTATTACATCATTCTTAACAATATTTCTTTAATATTTCAATTTAATTAATTTGGAAAATATTTTTTTGATATTTTTCTTCATTTTATTTAACTAATTGGAAAAACAATATTGAAAAAATTGTTAGAAAACTGGCTGAATATTTGACAAATTTTTTAGGAAATTAAAATTAATTTGTTATTCTAAATTTGAAAAAAAAAATTTTTTAACGTTCCCGTGATTTTCATTTATTTAGTTAAACAAAATTAAATAAAAAAAATTTTTGAGAGAATGATTTATTATTTAATTTTGTTGGAATGGACTCTGAACAAATTTTTAGTTTATAAATATTTAATAATGGTACAGTTTAATATATTTTTAAGATAATTCTAGAAAATATATTAAATAAAAATCTTTTGATATACATAAATATTTTATTGCAGTTTTTGGTATAAATTATAGTCTTCTCTATAAAATCATGTGAAACCTCGAACTTTCTCATGACTGACACCCCTTGGGACATAATTACAAATATATAAATATTTTTGAATGAGAAATAAACCCTTTAATCTTGATATTCATTAATTGGGCATATCAACTAATTTGCATCAAAGAAACATAGTTCTATAAATTGTCTACTAGTTATTTGCCTCTAAATTATGGTTTAAAATAAATAAATATTTTTTAATTTCAACAATATCAAAAACAGAATATTTAGATAATGAACCAACCCGATTTACGAACAATTCGTATATATTTATTTCATATGAAAATATTTAATAGAATAATAATATTAATCACTTGTGTTATAAATTTCTTTTTTTTAAATTTAATAATAATTTATTGTCTGTTCGTTCCAATTTTTAAAAAAATATCATTTTCTAAACAAATCTTGTTTTCAAATTTATTTTGTGCTCGTAACGAAGAAAATAACAAAAAAACTAAACGAATTTTTCTTTCTCCTCCAAAAATTTCTAGCTGTTCGCGCCAGCCTATTTACACATTTCGACCTTCAAACGTCAGCCTCTCACTCATTGACACACGAAACAAAAATATTTTTTAGATTTTTTCTTTAACAAAAGCTCTCAAATATCATTTTATTTATTTATTTTCATTCGAGATTATCTTCTTTGTAACAAATCTTTTAATTAAATTTATTTAAATTTCGTCTTTACTGACATTTTTTAAATCTTTATTACACTAATTTTCTAAATATTAACTTTTTTTATTTTAAAATATCAAAGACACTAAACAGAGAAATGATTGAATTTGATAAATATAATAAAAGAATAAAATAAAATACCGTATTTCCTATATTAGAGCCCCATGGGGCTCTATTTTTCAACTATCCTCCAGGGTGGGGCTGTATTAAAGGGTGGGGCTCTAATTGAGGGTGGGGCTCTATTTTTCAACCCTCTTTGAGTTAAAATCCCATTTATTAACTGTCCATTGCAACAAGAGATAGGCCGGAGGGGATGGTCGATAAAACCGAAAATATCAAAAGCGAATCGATATTTTTTTTGATTTTTCATGAAAAATTAAAACTTTTTAAGCAATGAATAACAAAATAGTCACAATAATTCAATAAGAGTAAGATTAATATTAAATATTAATAGATTTGGACGGATTAAAGGAAATATTAGGGGACTAGTGTTTGACATCGATGGATCAGAGGTATAAGAGTGGCTTTTAAGGGATTATGGGGAATACAGAGGATTAAGCTTATATTGAGAGATTTAGCGGGATTAAGAGGGATATTCTGGACTAGGGGTATTAGGAGGCAAATGAAGGGATTTTGTTTGATGAAGCTTTTGAACAAGTTCCAGAACTGGAACCGATTTTGGAGAAATTTTGGAACTTCATCACTGATTATAAGCGAGATCTCTAATAGATCTTTAATAATCTCTCGAATTATCGCCAAGTGCCTAACACGATTGCAACCCTTCATATTGAAACCCTTCAAAAATTGCAACCCTTCATAAATTTATTTTATTGGAGATAATAGGAGGGATTTGGAGGAATATAGGCGATTCTAGAGTATTTGGGCGGATATCGAAGTTATCCCCTCCTTTTCATTTCTATATTCCTATGATCCCTCCTCCTTCTTGATCGCGATATCATCGAGATCCATCCCCTTTATTTCCTTAACTCTCTTAATACATCTAAAAAGTTATTGGGATAATTTTTCCTCCAATATTTTTTAGGTGGGGCTTTATTTGGGGTGGGGCTCTAATTGAGGGTGGGGCTCTATTTTTTAACTATCCTCCAAAGTGGGGCTGTATTAGAGGGTGGGGCTCTAACAGAGGGTGGGGCTCTAATATAGGAAATACGGTATCTTGAAAATTTTTTAAAATATAATTTTCTAGGTATGTAATTAATATTTTAGTAAATTAATATTAATTCTAAAAATAAATTATTATTTATTCACAACCACAGATCCAGATTAAATTAAATAAATATTTTTTATAAAAATCTCTACATCCATTTTCATCAT